CCAGATTGACCAAAACCACAGCCTTGCAGTTTGAGTCCCAGACCCAGGGGCTTGAAAAACACTCTGAGTGTGTGTGCATGTGGGAAAAATGGAGAAGAAAGGATTGCAGCATGACCATTTACCATAGGAGGAGCTTTCTTGATTTCTCTCTGTCTCTCTGGGGAGCACATGCATCCTCTGGAAAATTAGGAAAAAATAGTGGATCCTGACAGTAAGGCTGGAGTGGTCTCTGAGTCTGCACTTTTCTAGTACATTGCTGGTGAGGTTTAGTTGTGGTTCTGTGGACCACATTTTGGATGGCAAGGCATTACATCATTTAATAGTCATAAATCTCTTAATAAATAAATAAAATTATTTTAATAATTTTAAAGAAGATAGTGAATCTGAAGTTCGGAGAGGTTAAATACTTTGGCAAAAACCCTCAGCTAGAAAGGGCAGAGCTGGGACTGGGGTGCAGATCTGCTTCAACTCAAAATCTTCACCTTTAAATAGCAAGCTAGGCCATTTTCTCATTCCAGAATAATGTGAGGGCTCCCAATCTTCTTTTTTGGGGGGTCCATTGCATAAGAAAATCAGATCTCTAGGCTCTGAGAGTTAGCCAGAGTCTGCCACATTCACTTTCTTGGCCATGCCTAATCTCTCTCTGTCAAGATGTGGGGACCTGGAACACTGGGGTGGGGAACCACATATGAATACCTCCTGCCCTCAGCCATTGAGCTACTGTCTACTCTCTGGTTTTGGTAATAGGCACCGTTTTTGTTAATGCAGTTAACCTATTGGCATAAATGAGATATACATCTATAAGAATGGATAAGCATTTCTCTGAAGTCAGTGGAAATTTCCCAAGTCAATTCTCCTGAGAAAATACAGACTGGGTCATGAAATAAACCCTTCGGAGGTAGCCTTACTTGGTTACCAGATCTCCTTCTCTTTGTGACCCAAAGGTTCTCAATTTGGGGTACCTATCAGAATAACCTATTAGAATTCTTCTTAGAAAATGCTGGGTCCTGGGTCCAGAAGATGGTGTAGCAGTTATGCTGCTGGACTCCCACATGGCCAACCATGGTTCGAGTCCCAGACCCAATGTCTTGGAAATCATGCCAGGTGCGTGTGAATGCATGCCCAAGATCCCAGGAAGAGAATAGAGAAGGGATTGTGGCGGGGCCATTCCCCTGAGGGATGATTTTTCACTTTCCCTTTCACTGTGTCTTGTCTCTTTCTCTCTCCCAGTGAGTACAAGCACTCTTAGATAAAAATCTCTTTAAAAAAATGCTGGATTCCTGATTCAAACCAATTGGATTAGAATGCCCAGGGTTGGCAATCCCTCTCCAATTGTTCCATGTAGACGATCTGAGTAATTCTTCATTAACAGCCCACCAGGCTGTTTCCGGGAGCTTCATTCCTTTGCAAGTCTGGGATCTGGATGAGAAAAAAGAGGGTCTAATCTAGAGTTGACAGCTGGTTCTGGTTCCTCCTACTTCATCTCAGGGCTTGCCTAAGTTCCCCACCCTTCCCTGCCTGGTACACACGTGTTCTTACAGTCCAGTAGAGCCCCAGGCTCTGCTATCTACCCCCCTCTGGAGACACTGAGCTCAACCAGTCTGTTGCTGAGAGCGACCTCATTTGGCTGATCCTCAGGCTTAAATGGCCAGCCCCTGGAGGGGATTTGGTCATTGACAACTCCTGAAATGCCAAACCATGTAGTGATGCAAAAATTCACTTGTTGTTGGAAGATGTTTATTCTTAAAGGGCTTGGGTGGAGTATTTTGTTAGTGCAGTGTTAACCAGGCCTGCACAGGTGACCTTAAGCTAGAGATCTAGCAATCCCAGAAAAGCCCAATGAACTATCATCTCTTTTCCTTTGCCTCCTGATAGGTTTTCTCATTCTCACTTCCTGATTCCTCTTTCTTGCCCTCTGCAGCCCCCAGGTAATCTCAGCTTGCATCTTCTTTGACCTCCTTTGCTCACTTACTCCTCAAGTGTCTATCACACTAAAATTCCCATTGGAATACAAAAAAAATAAAAAAACAAGCAAAGTATTTTAACATCCAGTATTATTTTTTTATTTCCATTTTTACACACATACATATTTTTTCTTTTCCAAAGTAACCAGGTTTTTTTTACATACTTTGCTTTTCTTTTTAAAATTTTGTTTGCTTATTTATATTGAGAGTGAGAAAAAGTACCCCCCTCCCCTACATGGGGTGCAGTCCTTTTCCTCCTTTTCTCCATTCTGGGCATGCATGCACATGTTGCTGCCAGGGCTGGGACTTGAACAGCAGTCAGTCATGTGGGATTCTTATCCACAGGCCCAGTACTTAACCACCACACTATGGGTCCGACCTCTACTTGTTGGCTTTTGTTTTATTTTTGTTTTGTTTTGTTTTTCAAACAAACAAATCAAACCCTGTGCAAAGGTCTGTGAACTCGTGTTGGAGAGCAGCAGAGAAAGGGACTCTCAGGGGACTATAGCATTCTGAAACCTGGTTTAAGGGAATGGATCTGGGGACAGTGAAGGAGGCATCTACTTCTGGGGGAAGTCAGATTCAGATTCGGGTGGAGCTGAACACCTCACTTACTTACTGGTGAATTTGTGCAAGGGAACTCATACCTTCCCTTTAGTAAAGTGATCTGTTGAATAGGCAAAGCAGAGTCAGTGAGGAGAACTCCTAGCAGGAGAGTTTGGTGACCCAATCTGCCCCCAACATGCTCCTTTAGCTGGGATTTCAAGTTTTCACTTCCAGAGGGACCAACAGGTGCCATTCCCACACCAGCCTCTAGGGGCACTCTGATCTTTACAGTCTCTTGGCCAACCAGGCTGCAGTTTCTTCTTCTTAGCCAAGCCAAGCAAAGGTTGGCTGGCATTTCCCTAGACAAATTCAACCAAGACATAAAGTTTTAAAAAGAATTCAAAAATTCTGTACAGACACATATATGGCATAGATGCAGTTATTTCTATATTTAGTAGTATTTTGTTTCTAAGTTAATGTATTTATTATGCATTTTCCTACTTACTACCTAACTCTAAAAAGGAGTTGGCGTGTCCTACAATAAAAGGCAGATGCTACAGAAACAGGAAGAGAAGAATATGGTGCATGAATTTCAGGAGAGAGGAGAGGAAAGTCAAAGACAATTGCAAGAGCTCAGGACAAAAAGAGAACTCCTCAGAAGCAAGGAAACAAGGAAATGTCCTATTCTATGATCAAATAAAATATACCAGCTTCTCAATAGAGAGAAAACAATCAGAAAAGCTTACAGAACATAAAATAATTTTTTAAAAACCAAACATGGTGACTAATGTCTAGTCACAGGTTGTTAGATACCAGAGTTCTCCAGTCATTAGCTTCTTTCTTGGTTCTTCTTGGTCCCATGTGATTTACCTGGAACATTCCCACCATCTGTTGATAAGTCTGAGCCTATGTTTCTCTAAAGGCTGTATTGCTGGCCTCCTCTGAGCTGGCCAGCACAGCTCATGGTGGGTGCCTTCATTACACCATGGATCACAGCATCTATTCCTTTTTCAAAAGCCCTTCCTCCCACTGCACCAGCGTGTGTGCTGCTGAATTAACCTGCAGAGGGATGCTTAGAGGTTGCAGTTTAATAACACACAGAGGTGACTGGCATTCCTTATGCCTAATGAGGGATCACATTCTCTTCAGTTCAGATCGTCAAGTGCCCCACTAGCCCCAGGGACTCTCAAACTCCTTAGGAGATATGACCTTGGAAAACAGAGTTTCCCAAATCATAAATGCTGATTGAATATGTTGAAGTTACTTGTACAATTCTGGGAAGAGGGTTTATAGTCTATTATATTCTCATGTAGGCTCACAACTTCAAAGAGTCATTAATGTAGAATTCTGTTACCACGTCCATGTATGTTGCACAACTTATACTCTGAAGTAACATAGTATGATCGTCATTCCATCTTTCTTTTTTTCAGTTTTTTCTATAGGGTAGGTGTGCTGGCCAGAGAGAGACAGAGAGAAAGAGGGTGTGCTGACCAGAGAGAGACAGAAAGAAAGAGAGAGAAGGAGAGAGAGAGAAAGCACCACCCCTCTAGGTGGAGGCTGGCCATACCACAATCCCTTCTCCTTCATTCTCTTCTTGGGATTTTGGGCACATGTGTTTCCTAAGTCACCAGGTCCAGGACTCAGACTGCACAGTTAGCCATGTGAGAGCCAGCTCCCACCATGCCACTGGCTGGCCCAGACTTCATTCCATCTTGACTCTAGGACTATACCTCTACACCTCCTGCTCAGGGTAAGCGGGGACCTATGCTAATGTCCCTGTACAGTCTCTAGCCCCCTTGTCTCCCTTGTCTGTATTGCAAACCATAATAAAATCACAATGGACCTATCTGCAGTGCTTTATGGTTTATAATGCCATCCAAGTACATTACCTACTGTGGTCTTCACAGTACCTCTGAGAGGTAAGCATTATAGTCTCCATTTTACAAATGAGAAACTCCAAGTTCAGAGAGCTTCCATGATCTTTTCAGTATCTCACTAGAACAAGCAGGTTCTGAAACCATCCTTGACCCTGAAATCTATGATACGTTTACAATGTATTTTACTCATTGGGCTGCACACTGAGATTATGAAAGCAGGGCTTTCTGCATAGATGAAATCATCCCAAGCTACTTATGCCTCTTCCTGTTGTTTCAGCTTTCTTAACTTGATGCTCTAAAATGTGTTTTTAGCCACTTAATACATTCTTCATAAATTATTGCTCACAACATATATAGAAAAAGGTGACTTTGTTAAATGGTAGCTTGAGTCATTAGCATATGCAATGTGTAATAAATCTTAGATACATGGACTTGTGTCCTGATCACAGAATTAGCCATAATGTCAAACACAGTGAGGGGGGTGGTGATAGTGGTAGTAAGGGGAGCTTTGCTTTATCTTCCTTAGACCTTGGGAACTTCAGATTACTTGCCCAAAAGACTTTAACTCTCCACTCATCAGAAAGCACTTTTTATCCTGAATTTCCCTCCACAGGAGGCCTATGTGACTTATGAGGATAACGTCCGGCTAGTCGGAGAGCTGGTGACTATCACTGGGGCTGTGATCATCCTGTTGGTAGAGGTGAGGTGTGGAGGGGACTGGGCTGAGGCCAAGCACCTGAGGCCCTAAACCAAACTGCAGTCTACATTGTCTTTGTTTTACTGGCCTCTCCCCAGATCCCAGACATCTTCAGAGTTGGTGCTTCTCGCTATTTCGGACAGACAGTCCTTGGGGGTCCATTCCATGTCATCATGTGAGTGTTCCCTTTCTAGACCCTGGACTCCCCTCACTAGAATTGTTCTGTCTCCAATTCACTCTCCGGGTTCCAGATGTTTGCTGCGGGAATTTCTCTCCAGGGGGCTTATATGTGGGACTGTATGAAGGGTCTTCAAAAATTTATGAGAAAAGGGAATTAATGTAGGAATTTATTTTGGTGCAAAACATTTTGAAGCCCATGCATAGTTTTCTCATATATGTATTTCCACGATGTTTTTGAAGACATTGTATGTGTACTTTGGGTGTAAATATTAAGACTGTGTAGATACCACCCATTGCCATGCTCTGGGGACCTAGAGTATTTCAAGCCTATCACATTTTCTACCCTCTGCTCTCCTTCCAGCATCACCTATGCCTTCATGGTGCTGGTGACAATGGTGATGCGGCTCACCAATGCCGATGGGGAGGTGGTGCCCATGTCCTTCGCCCTGGTGCTGGGCTGGTGCAGCGTCATGTACTTTGCCCGAGGATTCCAGATGCTGGGCCCTTTCACCATCATGATCCAGAAGGTCAGTGCCTCCCCAGGTCTCTTCTGTCTCAGCCACAGGACCTTTGTGGTTAGAGGAAGAGATAGGTGTGAAACGCAACTGCTGCTCAGAGTGGAGCTGGGAGAACTAAGGGGGCTTTCTGACCTGTTAGTGATTACTGCTCAGAGATGGTGGAGAAAGAATCATCCCAGTCTCCTTCCCCTTTTTTGTTTCCTTAGATGATTTTCGGAGACCTAATGCGTTTCTGCTGGCTGATGGCTGTGGTCATCCTGGGATTTGCCTCAGGTGAGAACTCTATTCCCTCCTCTAGTAGATCCAGTTCTCCAGATCACAGTTCTCATTTACACTCCATTTTGCTTTTTTATTTTCCCTTGCTAGAGAATGAGTCTAAAAGCACACCCATATCAGTAGGATTAGGGTCACTCAGATAAGCCTGGAAAGCATTCTGGGCCAACAAACTCATACCATTTTGCTTTTTTAGTTTCCCTTGCTAGAAAATGAGTCTAAAAGCACGCCCATATCAATAGGATTAGGGTCACTCAGATAAGCCTGGAAAGCATTCTGGGCCAACAAACTCATGTAGACTAATCCCCCTGTAAGATCTCTAAAGGAGATGGGACTGACCCTGTGACCTAGGGGTTAAGGGATGCATATCCCACATGACTGACCACAATTGGAATCCCTGCCCTAGCAGCTTGAAAAGCCCTCCATGCACATGTGCAGGTATGCCCCAAATCCTAACAGACTAGAGATAGGGAGAAGGGATTGTGGTATGACCATGCCCCAAGGTGGGCTATTTTCTACTTTCCCCTCTGGCAAGCATATGTGCCCTCTGGCAAAACAAAACAAAACAAAACAAAACAAAACAAAACAAAACACCACACATTAAACAGGAAAGAATGGATAGTCATGAATCTTAGAAATTAGAAAACTGGGCAAACAGAGGCTATATAATGTTTAACTCCTATGTTTACATCAGAAGGAGAAACATGAAGAATTCAATCACATATAACCTGTTCTTTTTTTAATATGTAGTCATTGAAAGTTGAGAGAAAAGGAAAGGAATAGAAAAAGGAAGCATAGAAAAAGATTCTGGAGTGTTCAAAAAAACAGGAAGCAGAAAAAGAAAAGTTGGAAGGAGAGACTGGGAGAAGAGGAACATGCAGGAACTCAGACAAGGACAGTGCTAGGGAGTGAAAGGAAGAAGTGATGCAGCAAGAAAAAACAGACTGAGAAAGCACCTGAGGGTGGGTAGGCCCAGTAGCGCAGCAGTTAAGCTCTGTTCATATGGAGTTGGATCTCATATAATGGACCATGGTTTGAATCTCAGCCTATAGTGACCTAGAATAAAGAAAGAGAGAGAGCAAGAGCGAGAGAGAGAGAGAAAGCAAGCTAGAGGGAGTGAAAGGGAAAATGAATGAATAATGAATAAAAGATTTCTTAGGAAAAGATAGAAATAAAAAGGTCCTTGATGTCTGCAACAGGTCATCCACTAGACAGTGGGATGCACTAGATGAGCTTAGGAGACAGCCCAACTCTAAAAGACCATGGCTTGGTTCAGGAATTCCTCATTAAGTGGGAGCTCCCAAAACACAATAGATGAAAGAAATACACCAGTATCTAATGCAGGAGAAGGTCAATCTGTGGCAGCCTCCCTGTTCAGAGTGTTCATCTCCTCTGCACTCCTGTGTGCCCTTTCTGCCACTCCCCACTTCATCTGCATCTACCCATGTGCAGATTACAACATAGAGTAATGGTAGCTGAACAGTTTTCTGTAAATGTTGGCCATTCCATTTGTTTTCTCTTAAATAAGGGGGCAGTGCTTCGTCATAGATCCTGTTTCCACTTTGGGGATCGCTTTGTATGTTTCAGCTCCCTATACAGGGAGGAGTCTTTCAAAGGGTCTAGTGCTGTCCTAAGGTTCCAGGATGCTCACTACCATCCAGTAGGCTACAAATGAGCAAGAATAATATTTCCTTAATAGTCGAGGCTCACCAAGAAATTCTAGAGTGATGGATGGTTACCTAGAGGCCATCAACAATTAAAAAATTTAAAAAGTCCTCTCTTTTAGCTCTGTTCTTTATAAGTATTGGATATTCCATGCTTTCTTATAACTATTTGCCTCTTAAATATTTGATTTTCTAAAATATAAAAGCTAGTTAGGTGACTTACACACACACACACATGAAAGCTCAAAATGCTTTTGCTAAATACAGAGTATTATCATTATTCAGAGTGATGATCTTAGTTTTCGGGTTAGCCACAGGTAGCTACTCTCATAGTTATGCAATTGTGTCTGCATGTGTGAACATATACAAGATTGTATATCAGAGGGAGAATAAATGCTGACCTGGCTCATTGTTATAACTCTGTTTCTCCACCTCCATGTCCTCTCCCTGAATGGAGAAGCATTCTATATCATTTTCCAGACCGAGGACCCAAACAATTTGGGGCAGTTCTATGACTACCCAATGTCATTGTTCAGCACCTTTGAGCTCTTCCTCACCATCATCGATGGGCCTGCCAACTACAATGTGAACCTGCCCTTCATGTTTTGCATTGTCTACTTTGCCTTCGCCATCATCGCCACACTGCTCATGCTTAATCTGTTCATCGCCATGATGGGGGACACACACTGGAGGGTAGCACAGGAGCGGGATGAGCTCTGGAGGGCCCAGGTGAGTTTATCAATGTTAGACTTGCTAAGGGGCAGGGAATGGTGAGAAAACTAAAGTGAAATGTGTTATGGTGGACCATTCTTAAGAGAGGCATGGATCACCCCAGTGGGCAATCACAACAGAGGTTTATGCAAACCTGAGGTTCCCGTGGGTAGATGGAGAAGGTAAAGTAGGATAACATGGCAGACAGAGGTAAAAAGTGGGATTATTGTTCACAGGTGAAAAGTAGATCCAGCAGTCAGGAACCAGCAGTTAGCTGGTTAGCAGTTAGCGTAAAGCAGTTAGCGTAATGGCTATGCTGCTGGGCTCCCACGTAGTCGACCGCGGTTCATGTCTCGGACCCGGTGGCTTAAAACTCACGCCAGGCGCATGTGCGTGCGTGCCCAAGATCCCAAGAGGAGAATGAAGGAGAAGGGACTGTGGCATGACCATCCCCCCCTGGGGGGGGATTTCTCGCTTTCCGTCTATATGTCTCTCTCTGTCTGGCAAGCGCACGCACCCTATAGCGAAAATCTCTCAAAGAGAAAAAAAAAAAGTAGATCCAGCAGTCATTCTTAAGACCAGAGGGACTTAGAAGCTCTCTTGTTCTTGTATATTGTAGTCTCAAATGTAGACCTTATCTTCAATTTGTTTCTATGAATCCCTGTTTCTTTATGGTCTTTTCTTTGCATCATCATAGAGTTAGAAGTGACCTTAGTGGTCCTGTTACTCCTGACTTTAGTTGACCTATTGAACATAATAAAATTTTATTAGCCAGCAGGTCAGCATTTTCTTTATCGTTAATTGCAACCTAACTATGTTTTAAAAATTATTTAATTTTACGTATTATTAATTTTTGATATGGTAAAGAGCATGTGTGCTCACCAGAAAGAGACAGAGACACATACAGAAAGAGAGGCAGAAGGAAAGTGAGAAAGCAAGCCATCAGGTCTGGGACTTGAACTGCAGTTGGCCATGTGAGAGTTCAGTGCCTTAAGCACCTTGCCCCCTACTGGCCTCAGGGACCTTATTATCTTACAGATTTGGATAGGGATTACGAGAAGAGCTTTTCCACATTAAAAGTTTTTGTTACCAAATCTGGGGCAGTTCTATGACTACCATAAGGCGCCGTTCAGTCCCATGTTGCATTAAGCTGAAACCTATCTTCCTATACTCCCCTTCTTTTGACTTGGTCTTTTCCTCTCATATAACATAAAATACATTCTTCCATATGAGCATCTTCCCTATATCTGAACAGGCATTATTTCTTTCCTCTAACTTTTCATTTGTTTAGCAATAATCACTTACATGGTACATGTTGGGTTGTGTCCAGAAACTGGGAGACGTGTGTAAGCACAACAGGTACAATCTGACAGTTCAGTTGAAAAGACAGACATTAAGCAAATGGATTCACAGAAAGATATAAAATTGCTGTCGTAAAAACGCCATAGTTAAGTACATGATGCTAAGAAGACGACGAATCAACAGAAGAATATCACTGCCAAGTTAAGGAGTGATATTTAACATGAGACTCTAAAGATCGGTAAGAGCCAATTTGGAGGAATGAGGGAGAAGGATGGAGGTCAGGGCTGGCATCAATTAAGATTCTTGGCTACAAAAACAAAACCTCACTCAAATGACTTTTCTTTTCCTTTTTTTTTTTTTTTTTTTTTTTGGGGGGGTTTTGTTATAGGGCGGGGGGGCTGAGACAGAAAACGAGAAATCACCCCCCAAGGGGAATGGTCATGCCACAGTCCCTTCTCCTCCGTTCTCCTCTCGGGATCTTGGGCACGCACGCACATGCACCCGGCGTGAGTTTTAAGCCACTGGGTCTGGGACACGAACCGCGGTCGACTACATGGGAGTCCAGCGACATAGCCATTACTCTAACTGCTGATTCCCTCTTTTCCTTTTTTTAATCAAAGGGAGGAGAATGTATTGGTCCTCATAAGTAAAACACTTAGGGAACAAAACTAGCTTTGAGGAGGTCTAGCCAGAATGCAGGTCTCCATCTCACCTAGTACTGCAGTTACTCTGTTCAGCACTATTTTACTGCAACTCTCTCCTAAGGCCAGCTTCCCCACTGTGTTGGCGAGATTGCTTAGAGAAGCTTCAAGGTCCCAGAGGGATGAGCAGGTGTACTGCAGTGCACAATCCCAAGGGCCCCATTCATATTGCATTCTGTGAGTCTCCTATGGCTGTGCATATGTAGGCTTTAAAAGAGCATCCCTCCCCCAGCAAAGTCAGCCTAAATTCCATCTCACTGGGACAGGCTTGGGTCACAGGTACATCTTTGAATCTAAGGTAAGGCCAAGAACTAGAGGGTGATGGTGTTAATGGTGTGGTGGAAATAAGGCCTAGGGGAGAACGGTCTAATTAACACAGGTTTGCATGCAGCTCTGTCTATCCTAACCTATGGCCTGAGAGTGGAGAACCAACTCCCTAAATGAAAGGTGGGTTTAGTTACCAGAGGAAGGGAAGCTGAATGGTGGTGCGAGAAAAACAATAAACATCCTTTTCAAAGCAAAGAGAACTATCCAGGGA